AAAGGACCACAGTGATTGTGGTCGTTTTAGTTTAAATAAAAAAATGGTCAGTAAATAAAAGCTAAAATATTGTTCTCTCAATGCATAAAGTTTGATCCACTGCCTGTTATTCTTTGTGTCAGAATTCAATATGAAATATAACCACAATGATGCTAAGATATTTGGAAAACTAGTACGCCAGGTCTGATTCGAACCCGCGATTATCCCTTCTAGACACTCACGTGCTACCTCTGCACCACCGAAAATGCTTATAACATCAATATAAAGGGTGACTGCTGATAGCGCCGTCAGGCTAAGGAACATTTATAACATCAGCATAAAGGTGACTGCTGATAACACTGTCAGGGTAAAAAACTATCTGAGAGAAAAGCAAATTGAGGGACCCGTTGGTGCGGTGATAACACGTGAGCCCCCGGAAAGGGTAATCGCAGGTTCGAAACTGGCCTGGGTTCCACGTTTTGTGAATATTTCAGCGTCATTGTAATTTTTATTTTCACCACCTAACATTTTCATAGTAAAGCTTGACGCCACCTCAACATTTAACACTGGAAATTCCATGTTGACATAGAGAGGTGAACATAAAAACTCAAACAACAGCCTAACCAAAAAAAGCACTCAAAAACAACAATAGCTATCAGCGTGTGCACAAAAAGAGAGTAGAAGAAAGAATCGCTGAAAATGGAACTGAAAACAGCCATTTCCAATTGCTAAGAAACTTTGGCTCCTCGGGGTAGATTTGGAGGAAGGACGATACCACCAAACCATATTTTTTAGCGAGAATTAGGTCTCGCTTACCCCGCACTTTATTTCCAACGAAATAAAAAAAGCTATAAAACGTTGCTTAAAAAGGCTAGGCCTAGAGAATTACGTAGAAGTGACTGAAATACCACCGCGCACTCTAAGACATCAGCTAGCTGCCAACCGCCTATATGGCCGTTTATGCAAAAACAAAACTGCATAATATGCTATAACAGTAGAGACAGTCATTGGGTAAGCTCAGGTGCGGTTTATCTGATCTCTTGTAAGGTGTGCGGGGAGGAATAAATTAGCGAAACGGGTAGACCATTCTGCGTCCGTATAAAAGAAATCCTAGTCACTAAGCGTAGAGTTAAACAAAACATCTCGGCGTGCATAGGACACAGTCACATAATGGAGAAGATTTCGAAGCAAAAGTTACCATTTTTGCACAGATATCTAAAACCTTAGCGCGTAAAATCTTAGAAGTATTCTGGATAAGTCCCAAGGGTCGGAAAATGAGCTGTAGGAAAGGATGCTTCATTATCATGCGGGATCTCGCACTACATCTGAGGCTGATATCTTATACGTGAGACTTGCTTATTACTCTTCAGTGTGAACTCGGCACTGTTACTTTCCACGTGGAATACCCAGTGACTCATAGAGAACGGCGAGTGTGAGAAGCTCTTTCATATCCAGTGCGGGTAGAAAACAGATGTCGTCGTTTTTCCCTTGAGGTTATAGAGGTGTTTGGCTCACAAGGTTGTGTTTAAATTGACCATTCCAGGCACTGATGGAGATGAAATCTGCGGAAACCTGTCGTTTTTTTGTCAATAAAAAGTAAAGTGGCACCTCCGTGTTTGCTCATCAAGAAAATTTTGAGTTCTTTGGTCAATGCCGAAGCTAACAGAAAGAATTTTGGGAATTACTGCAAACAATAGTCCTTTCTTATTTTTATGTACAAAAATTTCACTGAAGTTTCATTCTTTCTTTTTCTCTCAAACATAGACCTTTCTCTTTGGCTGCCATCGATTACTGCTCTGCACTGAAATGGGTAGGCATCCAACAAATACTACGGTTGAGTCGTACGTTCTCAGCAATCAACCCTTTCCGACACAATTTCCATCATTTACGCTCAACACCTCAGTTTCGTTTGACGAACGTTAATCTCACAATTAATTTTATTATGACTCGCTTATGTGGATACTTAAACTAACCGCCCACACATTTCATGCAAGCGTCACTGGCATTTCCTTCGTACCGATGTCATGCAGACGCCAACGTAGGTAACTGAGTTCATATGTGATCGGTTTGACTGCGGTTGACGATTCGTGGTGTCATCGTTCCACTGACATATTAACGAAATGGAGTTGACCGTGTTTGCTCCTTTCTGGAATCCAAATCCGTCAGTGCTAAAGCACTTCTCGGTCCTCAGCAGAGATAAAAACTTGTCCTTCTAAATTAAAGGAAACTTTGGCGATGCCTTCACTACTCCAAAGTTGGAGCGGAATGTCACAGGCCGATACACTTCGGATAACTGCTCTAATTTTTCTACTCGCCTCAAATGTCACATTCTTAAGGGTCCTATCTCCTAAATTCATTCCAGTGTTTTCAGAACCTTTTATTTGATTTTTCTTTAGAAATTCATGGTGGTCAAAGAGCCTGAATAGGACTAGGTAGAATGTGATATAATGGCTGGCAATCCGTTCCTTCTTCAGAGAGCAGTGATCCTTGCAATTAGTCAACCAAACGATGTACAATATAACTGCCTCATTACCACAACATTCAACGAAGCTATGAACTTATAACTTCAAGCATGAAAAAGAAGAACCAATTTCAGAAAAAGAAACGATTTGGAAAGCGTAACCATCATGAAACGATCTGCGTTTTGTCTCTTCAAGACGTCCCTCATTCGATCAACTCAAAAGGGCATTCAGTGCTGGGTGAACGCGTAGAACAGACGTCCGCCATACTGGTTTTGGCAGATGGACATCAGCCAGTTCGTCCTGGACTTCTTCGTCTTTCTCTCTCGCTATTCAGGTGTTCTCATCTAAATCGTCCAGCTCGCGCAAGATTCCTGTGTTATCATTTCTCATTGCTCAAACGTGCTCAGTTGATGGCAGTGAAAGCCAACGCCAAAGCTGTCCTTGCTAACACAACATGAACGCACCATCGAAAAAATTTATTTAGTCTGGCTAATTTTTTTTGCTTGGATACGCCCTCCGGTACACATGGGACCGATCCCGCGCTCAAAGCCCACCAAGCCTTCCATCCTTCCGGAGTCGCCACCGGTATTGGTACCAGACTTGTATGAGAGGTTAGCAGCATTGACTCAATACATCGATAGGTTACCGCAAGTCATTGTGCTGGCCAGATATGCCATATTTTCAATCACCTCTAACGATGCTTAATGAAGCCCAATTCATGGCACATTCCTCAGGGATTGATTAACGTCGAGAGCTCTTTATCCTTTTTTGCTGTTATTCTAAATCTTATACAAGGAGAATTTCTTCGCTGATCTTGGGTGGAAGTAACTTGTTCAACGATTGTTTCAACTGATTTTGTTGTTTTTTCACCTGGTATCACAATTCGTACATCTTTAGCTGTTACCCCTTTGCAGCGAGAATGATTTGAATGAAATGAAAGGCTAAATTAAAGGGATCCTTCACTCTCCTCCCTTCAGATGCTGGGATGTCACGCGTCGGTTGTCCGACGACAGCATATCGAAGTCAGACGCTCGGTTCACAAGTGCATGAAAGCATGCAATTAGTCCTCACTCGAAATCAACTGAAGATGAACGGAACGCTGTCCGTACAATTTGTCATTAGTGCTGTTTTTAGTAAATCAGTCATATCTCAATTCAACAGAGTCGCCTATTCATTTCAATTCTCTCTGAGAGTTTCGTATTAACCTGAAGATGAGGAGAGTATTGCGAGTATAGTACGCCACAACCATCTAAAGTATAAAGAATAAAGCTCGCACTGATCTTAATTCTGGAAAAACTCCAGAATGTGCTAATGCTCGATGTCAAATTCATTCTCCACGCTGGTCAGCAATACTACCACAATTTGTTAGATAGAGATTAGTGAGATAACCACCTTAGTAGTTACTTTGGCTGGTATATTATACAGAGGCTGCACTGATCATCGTCAAGGTCCAGGGGTTATTATCGGTTCAGCCTGTTGTGTCATCTCTTGGTTGGTCACATTTTCTCGTTACCGCTTTCAAACATTTCCTCAAGTTACAGCCAAACAATGGACGCGACCTCCAGTGAATGTAAAAAAGAAACAGAATCAAAGTTGATGCCAACAGGCAACTGATGACGGGCGATTTATATAACCAAGTAGGTACGAAGGGACGCATGTGGCATCATTGTGATTGCACTGCAAATAATACCCTGCAGTGAAAAATTGTAGTATGCAGCAAATAAAAACTTGACATTGTCATTTCGACTTCACCCTCAGTTTAACTGGATTCAATGCCCATGTTTTTCAACGCCGATCACAACGATGGTGAGATATTTACAAAACACTGGACCGCAGGTATCTGCATTGGGAAACAAACGCGCTATTACCCTTTCCGGGAGCAAACGCATTCGCCACCACGCCACGCTGGCCTTTCGCTTCGACTGTCTCTCAGCTAATTCTATCGATCACTTGCCATCAGCAATCACCCGTCAACGGGATTGATCTAGGGATCCTTTAACTGGGTTCAATGCCGATTTGGGCTCCCCAGATCAATTCCGTTGACGGGTGATTGCTGATGGCAAGTGATCGATAGAAATAGCTGAGAGACAGGCGAAACGAAGGACCCGTATGGTGTCGTGGTGAACCCGTTACTCCCCTGGAAGGACAATAGCGTGTTCGTTCCTCACCGCAGACACCTGCGGTCCAGAGTTTTGAAAATATCTCAGCATTGTTGTGGTTGTATTTCGTATAATATCCTTCGGTGAAAAATTGAGGTAGGCAGGAAATGTGAGGTTATCATTATCTCAGCATCATTGTGCTTGCACTGCTATCATTCCTTCTACATTCATTCACAGCTTATTTTTATTTACAGACATACTTGACAGGAATAAGGTGTGTTCTTTCAAGTGGCACAGGAATTTAAAAGAATACACAGTCAACACACAATAACTGATAAACAATGATGAATACAACCAGTAGTAAGCTGTAGGTGACAGCTGGGACAGTAATAAGTCAAAATGCAAAACGCTATGCAACTTACTACCTTAAATATATAGAAAATAACGAGAAGATCACACCTCAGAGAGCCGTAAGTTGATGATGTTCCACACTTATGGTGTCATTACTAGAAATAGGAGCTAATGGCTCAGGGATAAAACACGATCCTTGTGAAGAACTCATGTTGATAGGGATCTGATTATAGAGTGAACAGAAGTTTTGTTCATATATATTCGCAGGCATTTTATAGATGTCTTTCACACCCGTCTCTGGATTAAATGATTCTGTTTTTTGCATATGTGTAGTGTGAAAAGCTGGAGGGATCGACTCTACTAGAGTTGTGAAATTCGCACAACAATGCTGATGGTCCGGTAGAGGACCAGCTTGTAGGATGCCGGATAGGACTTGATGACTTTGTACTATAGGAGAGGTGGCTGGCCTCAACTGAGGAGGTGGAGTGGCAGCCTGTTCGGCCGATACCGATGGCGACACTATCGACAAATGCTGCAATTTCCCTTGCTTAATATAGTAGACAACTAGAACTAACATAACAAAAAGCATAGATAAAGACGTATTAAACCAATAGACGAGACTAATGTATGCAGTGGAGTTCAATTTACTTACGCTGTTATCCATCAGTGAATCTTCTGAGATGTTTGTCCCGTCGGGAGGGCTCCTCTGCGGACTTAAATAAGAAGAAATCGCTTTCTTTGAATCAAAGAAGCTCAAATCGAACAGCTACCTCTCAAACTTCTTTTCTCGTTTGTCCTTAGCACGTCGATTTTGAAACCAAGTCTTAACTTGTCCCTCGGAGAGTCCCAGAGATTCGGCGAGTTGCGTCCGTTTGTCTCGAACCATATAACGCTCAGAGAGGTATTCCTAAAGATAATTCTCTTGAGATCAGTCATAGTTGACAGATTACGAAGAGGAAGTGTCCACAGAGAAGAAAAACGCAACGAATCATGTTAAGAGGATAAGAGGGCCCTTTAGGTTGAGCACCAGTGGTGTGAATAACATATACTTAGATTCCTAGAGAATTTTAGAGTGGTTCATATTGAGAGAAAATGAACAAGAAAACAAAACGTTAGTCGTAAATGAGATTTCAGATCGCGTTTTGGCCCAAGAATAAAATGTGATCGTTGACTGATTACTTGAATGCTAAAAAAAAGAAAAAAAAACAAGAAGCAGAATAGAAACAAACCAAACCTAAACAGAAAGTAATATGACAAAACACTAGCGTCACATGAAAAACTTTTTGATATTCTACTCTTCTTTTAGCTCATAAAGGCGATCTGAACTGTGTGGGGGAAATGGAGGTCCACGCCTAGAGCGCTAATCTGGCGGACTTTTACACATCTACTGAAGGAATAAACATTTCCACGATAGCGATCACTGTCCTCAACGTCGTTGCGAAAAGCAATTAACACCAGCCATCCAGACATGTGAGCGTCGGATGAGATTGACAAGCTCCCCAGTGCTTCTCCAGTTCTGCCGCTGTATGAGGAAGGAACGAGGTTTAAAGCTGAAAGCTTTCGGTGTTGCCCAATCCCTGACGGATGCTCTATGCATTCGAGTTCATTAAGCATCGGTAGAGGCGAATGGATGCATATACGGCTTATACGATGACTTGAAGTGACCCGCCTATGTATCAAACCAGTGCTACTGTCCTCTGAGACAGCTATGGTACTAATTTGCCGACCCCGAAGGGGTAGAAGCCTTTGGCGAGAAAGCGGCACGAGATCCAACCAAAAACAACGAGTATCGCAGGGTACCTCTAACCACTGCACTACACATTCCTAACAAAGCCAGACGTCCACAAAATGTCACTCAATAGACCATTGAGGGACATGCTTACTTGCTTCTCATTTATCGAATGGCACTTATCATATCAATCAAGAGCTTAGGTATAGATTAAAGAACAATGAGATGGCAGAAGAATGGCGTAGACGCCACCAAGATGCACTGTTGAATCGCCAAGTGTGGGACATTGATGCTTTTTCAGTGCTCTTGAACTCATCTTCATATGCGCTCAAAATCGGATGCTGCGAACGTGAAACCCTTAAAGTTAAGCCAAACTACTCTCCATCTAGGGAACTCCGTAAGGATGCTTATAAAAGATTGACGAATTAGTAGGTTCGACATGATTGTGCTAGTCTCTGGTAGATCTAGAGTTAAGTTGAACTAAGACTGTGGCTTTAGCTGATGTAAACTCATGGAGCTAAATATAGCAGGACGAAAATGTCACAAAAATTATTAGGCTTTAATCCTTTAGTCATGGCAACGTGTCGCCATATATCGCTGCGTGCCGTCGATAAAGTGAATAGTAGAGCAGCGCTTCATTTAAATTGAATTTTTTTCATTCGAAGAAACCATATGTGTAGCCGCGGCAATTATTAACGTGAAGCTTCAGTGACCAGTGACATAATATAACCTCGGGATTGGTTTCCAATTCGAAAAAAATCGCGTGCAAACAATTAATTTAGCGCAAGTGTTCTCTAAATACTGAACACAATTTTTCGTATTCTTGTTGAGTAAACATGAGGTGTTATTTTTATTCTTTATTCACGAATAAGCTGACGTTTCGGCGGATTTCAACTTCCTCAGAGCCTGTAAAGGTCAAGTTGACAGCAATCTGTTCGGCCAAACAACCAAGATTTCAATCACACTGAACACAGTTTTGCACACTCACCGCATTCTGAACACAATTATGCCCTAACATCAGCTTGCGACAGTGAACGGGATGTTCCCACGCATTGCGGGTATCGCAGCCAGCAGATGGATACTCGAGAGCCAGTCGTAACCCTACGCCACTAATCCATCCCCTCTCATGGACAGATGTCGCTCGCATCCATCCATTCCTGTCAATCAATACCCACATCCTCGTAGAAAGACGGAGAGCGAAGAGGCATAACTATCAACAGAGATGCTACATGGAAGATAGAATTCAGAAGAATCACTGGAATTCGCTTCGAACAACAATGGAATGTTCAAAAACGAGGAAGCAATCCAAACGTACGCCACATCCAACAAGGAACAACAACACGGCACTTCAGTTCGCAGCTGACACACTGAACAATCACGAAACGCCGGTCAAAGGTCAAGAAGCTACTGACTCTCTTTCACAGAAGCGCACTCCTCAACTTGTGAAGAGAAGATGTGCACATAAATACTGTGATAGTACGAGTCATTCATCAGAGCATCAAAATTCAACGCTTCAAAAACTTACCTTCTCCAAAACAGTTGCCTGGTATTGAGTAAAAGTGGTCCTTTTGCGCCTATTTTTACTACCAGCGTTTTCTGTAGGGCTTGACATAACGGGTTCGGGGTCAGAGTACAGCTTTCTAGAACGAGAGTATTAAGCAATAAAGTGCTATGAAAAAACAAAAAAAACACAAAGCTCACTTCAGTTCTTTCGCTTCAGGCGCTGAAACCAATAGATGTTCAGGACGATAGTAGGGCTTGAACGCTGAACCAGCACTGGCCATTGAGAGCATTCTTGTTTAAACTGAAATCCAGAGAAAACTATTCGACAGCACTCAGAATGACACGATTTTCGGAGGTAGTGAGGAGATAAAACTCATGAGATCTCCCATTTCATCTAAACAATCATACAAGAAACAACACTGAAATGGCTCTAAGTAGCACAACAAATGCAGGGGCGAGAAACATTCCATCTATGGAAGGCCTTCCTCAGCCTCTCCACAACTCCGCCCCTTAGAGCGCGCCGGCCGATTGGCACAGCGGACCCGAGCGAACCGACAGGGTCCCCAAGTGCTCGGTAACACCAGTAATTATGTCCGGAAGGATAGAGGGATTAGCGTCAACATGCCTCGGGGGAAACGTACAGCAGAGAAGAACCGATAGGTCATCATGCCATGCGTCGCAGTCAGACAGGACAGACTAGCATCGATCGCATCTATGTTGACCAGAATGAGACGATAGGAAAAGGAACTACGGTTATCATAGCATAGTTACCAATTTAAAATTACTCTTTACAACGTAACAATTTACTTCAAAAGGGTTATCTTAGATGTAAGTTTCGATGAATTGGGGCCGAGTGGCGTTAAAGGAGATGCTTTTTGTTAAACAACCGAAATCATTTTGATATATCCCATTATGGCGCCAAACGCAAAGAAGCAGTGGTGACATTTCCCAGTCTCACTAAGAGCATTCCAAATTTCCATAATATCACTTGACATATTAGCGTTCTGGACCTAACAGATGGAAAATGTTAACAGAATTTAACAAGCTAAGATGATAAACTTAGCCCATTAAGAAAAAAGGTGGGATTTCTCAAGTAATTACTTACTACAAATAGTTAATAGCCACGAGAAACGCCAAATTCTATTCTCCCAAAGACAAAACCTACAACCAATTTATAGTTTACTTACTCCAAGTTATGAAAACTCATCTCTATTGAATCCAATCTATTCACGCTAACACACCTGCTTTTGCATGAATACCACCATAATAAATGTTTTCCTTATTAATATGGTCTCTCGACGAGTAAATAAATGGGGGAGAGGGATAAACTTATCTGCTAGTCATACTTCGATATAGAGAATTTTCTCCACGGTTAGATCGATCACGTACGATCACCATGGCGACACAAATGTACCAATAATGGATTTAAAGCAGTTAACCGGTAACAGAGCACGTTTAGCATTATGATATCTCCCACGGATTGACGGCAATTTGACCGTAGCATTTATTTATGAAAAACTCACACCATCTAGTCTACTATTACTACTACTACTACATTCAGTCTGCTGCTACAAATTTTGGCTTCTCCTATTTGTAGTCATGTAGGTAATGTCCACACTATGGTTACCACCTCATCTCCGATGGTGTTCCTATGGAACAGATGTTTCTTTGTACCAATTTGGCCTTCAAGCTTAGAAAGAACGCAAAACTTCGATCCGAAAGTCAAGCTAACGATGATTAAATGCCGAGAATCTTTGTAGGGCAAGAGGTTGTGTTGGCCTGGGAGGTCACCGTCGGAGGTTTCTCAGCATTCCTTGGAAAAGTCTTGGCAAATTAAGTAAGTCAGTGTCACGAAACGTAAACAACTGAGCGTTCAAACAAAATGTTAAGACCACATATTATCACCACAGCCTAAATCTTCCTGTTTGAAAAGTCTTGGCAAATTAAGTAAGTCAGTGTCACGAAACGTAAACAACTGAGCGTTCAAACAAAATGTTAAGACCACATATTATCACCACAGCCTAAATCTTCCTGTTTTCATTTGCGAAATGATAGTTCGTTAAGAGGATCGAAGAACGTAGAAATAAGACGTATACTGAAAATCCTAGCTATTATGTATTGAGTAGAATTCGCAGATATTCGTTTACTCAAAATCCGCAGCACAAATCATTTCGTAGCTAGAACGTATAGATTCACAGTCGAAGACGGTGTATACCATTCTTGAGGATAAAATGGTAAACGATAAAGCTCTGGGCGTTGATCAATCCCCGAGAGATGGGCCATGCATTCAACTTCATTACGCATCGTTGGTGATTGAATGAATATCTGGCCTTTACAATGACTCGCGGTGGCCTGTCGATGTATGGGGCCAGTGCTGCTTTCATCCCAGACAAGTCTGGTGCCGATTTCCCGATCAGAGGGTGACGGATGGATTGACGAGCCAGGGCGCGGGGATCGATCCCATGTGTGTATTGCAGAATGCCTCCGACAACTGCGCCACATGCGCCGCTGTTCTTGAGGAAATTTCAAACATGAGTACCGATTTTCTATCAAATTTAATCCTGTTCATTGCGAAATACGGTGAAAGCCATGTGAAAAGCATGATGACACTTTTGGTAAGCGTTTTTTCACAAACTATTTTTTCAAAATTCAAACCCACGGTGGTTGGCTGTCAAATTATGGCTGGGGAGGTGTTATTGGATGTCAAGCTGCGATCTACAGAGATGGTTCTTTACTCCAGAATGATCAGCCAAGCCGGAAGATATGTGACATTTCCATTTTCCCCACCAAGGAGTAAAACTACGCGATTGGAGAGCCTGACAAGTTATTCAGAGTTAGCTGCATGTACAAAACAATAAAATAAAGCAATTCAAAGCGAAATGCAATGGTATTAGATCCTGTCGAGCGAGTGGCATGTGCTCGAGTCGTTCAATGATTACCAGGAGTACAGGTGATATCAGTGACAGGTGAGTTTTCAAAATTCAATGCATAATCAATGAAAGCAGTGAATGCATGTACAAATTGAAGTTCTCTCTAGGTAAAAACAAGGCAAAGTAATGTCATTCAACGAAATTGGAACCCAAACCATATTGAGCTATTTTTAGCTTCTCGTTCTTTTCTAGTTTAACACTTTCCAACGAAACCGCTTTTCTATCAACTGCCGAAAATTTGCATTAATTACAGTGCTTGAGAACTGTAGGGTGTGAAAAGATTATAAAAAAGATGATTCGAGCTACTATTCCAAGACGCTTTTTACTCCCTTATTTAAACATCATCCGTCATCATATGTAGTGTGCTGGTCGCAGCACATCTTGTTTTCGATTCACTTCCTCGTACCCGTTACCTGCGAAAGTCTTCAGATTTCTTCATGGATGTTGCGAATGCTGGTCCACTCGATCATCCACGGAGTTCTGAGAGAGCTGGGTTGGAAGGTTCCCGTTTGGACTGCAGGAAGCGAACTAACTGCAGGCAGGTTTGGTAACCGATTTCCCACTACGGAGGGATGAGAGGCTTAGTTAGCCTAAACTGGCACCGTGCTCGTGATGAACGGCAAGCCAACCACTGCATTAAGGCTCAACTTCTACAGAAACTCTTTCTAAAGCTTCCCTACTTTTCTTAACTTAATTTTGGAAGTATCTAAAATTCAGATTTGCAAGGCATAGAAAATGAAATTTATACTTTAAATTTTTTAACGTAAGCGCTAAAGTCACAAACACCAATGATAAGTTGGAAGGCAGCTTCGTGTCCTATTGTGTGAAACCACGACTGTTCATTTGCTGCGCTGTTATAAGAAAGAGAAATACCGACTTCGAACAAAATAAAATCGAAGAAAAAGGCATTTGGGTTCGAAATGACCAGAATCCTATTTTTGCGGAACAAAAAAATGATACTCCCTAGCAAATATTCCAAAATTTCCGACGAAACCACATTAGGGAGCACAGGTGCTTAGATATAACCTAAACTTGGTTCAGTGCCAATTTGTGTCCCTCGCATCATTCACGTTGATGGATGATTGATGATAGCACTGATAGAGTAAGAAATTGGTTGACAAAAAGCAAAGCAAAGGTATCGGCTGGTATGGTGGACAGCACGTGAGCCCTCGATATTTGCCATTTGCCGATTCGAAACCCCACTCAGTTTCCAAGTCTTGCTGATATCTGAGTATCCTTGTACGTGTCTTCACGCCATCTCATGAGTAAAGAATAGGCAGTAAATTCAGTTTCAGACATTCAGTTAGTAGAGTTCAATAATAGCAGAGATGGCACTGGTGTAGCTCAGTGGGTTAACACCTCATAGTACACATACGGTTGCTCGTTCGATAGCGGATTTGGAAAAATCAAGCACACCATTTCCCAGGTGTCAAAAAATTGGTGTGAAATTTGTCTGCGATGATAAAGGCACTGATTCGATGCACCGGTAGATCACAATAAGTGACTGTATAATCCAGTCATTCATTCATTCAATTGGATGATGCTTCATTAAGTCTGATACATGACAAATTCCTGAGGGATTGACTAACGTCGAGATGCTTACCTTACTTTTCCTTTATAAACTGAAACATTTTTATTCAAGTGGAGAAGCGTAATTATTTGGTAACACGCCTGCACTAAAATCAGTGTGTGCCGAACATATGAAATACTTTCTCTTTTTGACAATTTTGCAGTGAACTCATATCAAGTCGTTTCTTATTTTTGTCTCTTAACACAGAATCAGGTATCGGTTCCTACCTACTCACGCGTGGGTGGAAAGATTGGCTGCCAAGCGTTGATTTTATCTCATTGCACGTGCAGTGGAAAACAGGGAGTTGATTTGATACGACAACAGGACGAAATCAAATAATGTCAAAGTGTTAGAATGACGAAGCATGCTGTTGAAATACGAGGGAATGAGGACCGCAATTTTTTACAACATTGTTCTAAACCGTGTGATTTTGTTGAAGTAGAAGACAGAAGGAAGGATTCAGGATGAAAACAACATGTTCATAGATTTAATTCACTCGTAAGAAGTAATGGACATGACGTTGGACGTGGACCAATCCTTCATAGATGTTTCCAAAAAAGCCTGGTACAAATTTGCGGATACCACGAGAGATCGAGGCTTTGGTTTGTTCGGGTGCGTATTCGAGTCAATGACACTGTTTGTACCATAGGGCACTTCAAAGCACTATCCTTCTCGCGCTCTCATCAAAAGTAATGGTCAACTAACATCCCAATTATGACAGATCCGTATTCTGCAGGGGTAATGATGTCGTTCAATTCGAGCGACGTACTGGTTCTACCTCGACCCAAGT